AGAGAGAGAGAAGAGCAGAGATGAGAGAGATCAAAATAAGGAAAGAGAGAGAGAGAGAGAGGCTTATGATATAAGAGAAGCGCGATGGGGGAGACAGACAGAGAGCTCAAAACGGACTAAAGAACGAGACTTGCCCGACCGAAGAAGAGAACCAGATCGAAGAGGGAGAAGAGCAGAACGAGGAGATAAAAGAGAGGAAGAGGAAGGAGGCAGAGACCCAGTCGTGGGAGGGTGGTGATTTGTCAAATTTTATGTAGGCTTCTGGAATGGTTACACTGTATAAGGAATATAAGGAATATGAGGCTTACGTGCTCAAGCATAACATATTGATGCCATTAGGGATTGCCCTCTGATGGTGGGGGGGGGGGGTGGGGGAGGGGGGAGGGAGGGGCGGAGGGGGAAGGGGGAAAGGGGGGAAGGAAGGGAGAAGGGGGAGGAGGAGGATGTAGGGAGGGGGGAGGAAGGAGGGTGTAGGGGAGAAGGGAGAAGGGGGAGGGAGGAGGATGTATGGGAGAGAAGAGAGAGGAGGAGAAGGAGGAGGGAGGAGGAAGTAAGAGAAGAGAGGGAGAAGAAAGTAGGGGAAGTAGGAGAAGGAGGATGTAGGAGAGAAAGGGGAGAGAGAGAAGGAGAAGAAGTATGGGGGAAAAAGAAATGGGAGAAAGGATAGTTAGAAAGAGAAGGAGGAGGGAGAGACAGGAGGAAGAGGATGGAAGTAGAGAGAAGCTGAAGGGAAGAGGGGGGAGGGGAGGGAAGGGTGAGAGGGTGGAAGTGGGGAAGGGAGGGTGGAGCTGGAACGTGGGGGGGGGTGAGCGTAAGGAGATAGATGGGGCGGTTGGGGAAGAAAAGGAGGGTGTAGGTGAAGGAGAAAAGACGGAAGAAGAAAGAGAAGAACGGAGGAAGTGGGCGAAGGAAGTGGTAGATAGATAGATAGAGAGAGAGAGAGAGAGAGAGAGAGAGAAGAGAGAGAGAGAGAGAGAGAGAGAGAGAGAGAGAGAGAGAGAGAGAGAGAGAGAGAGAGAGAGAGAGAGAGAGACAGAGAGAGAGAGAGAGACAGAGACAGAGACAGAGAGACAGACGCAGAGAGATAGATAAAATAGATTAGATTGACACAACGTCAAAGGAAAACCTGATACACAGAAAAAGAAAGACAAAGCAAATGAAATACAATAAAAGAAAAAAAACAAAATAAACCCGAAGAAAAATACGTCAACATTTAAAAAAAAACATAAAAACAGGAAAAATAGAAGCCATAAAACTTCCAAAAGAACAAACAAGGAAAAGATCTTAAAATACTAGCAATCCATGAAATATGTTTATGTAAAAAAAAAAAAAAAAAAAAAAAAAAAAAAAAAAAAACGGGATAGGGGGAGGGGGTACTATGGTATATAATATATTGCTTAGTAAACACAGCAACGAAGAGAGGAGAGGTATGCCCATTACACTTGCAACTGACAGGTTCATGGTAGTCGGAGCATATATTAAGGGCATTAAAAAGTATTTAAAAAGATGGTTCTTTATTTTCTTGAACACACACACAAACATACATGCACACACACTCAACGCACATACACACACACACAAGCACACACACATACACGTCCACACACACATACACGTCCACACATACACAGACATAGACGTCCACAACATACAACACACACACACACACACACATCACACACCACACACACATACACGTCCACGTCCACACACACACACAAAACAAAACACGCATACAAAAAAAAAAACACATTCATTCTCACAAACGCGCGTGAAAGAGAAAGAGAGAAAGATGAATAGAAGAGGGAATGGGAAAGATAGAGAAAAAGAGGAATGGGAAAGAGAGAAAAAGAGGAAGAAAGGAGGGAATGGGAAAGAGAGAGAGAAAGAGGGAAAGGAGTGGAATGGGAAAGAGAAGAGAGGACTGAGATGCAATACTTGTACCTACCTTTACTAATTAAGCTTTATTTAGGTAAAATATGAATGAATAAGAGAATGCACTAATTATCAATCATGCTTTTTTTTCGATTTGTAATAGGTATACTATGCGAAACAGATATCTTTCCACAATACAGTATTTAAATAAACCCCTAGGTAACATATTTGGGGTCGAAGCATATTTCATAATTTACAAATTAATGACTGGTAATTCTACACAATATTTTGACTTTCTATACAGCACATTAATCATGCATTTTCTTTTTAACAGATGGGCCTTTACCAACAGACTTGCCATGATGTGTCCTCTGTTAACTAAGAAAAATCTTGTTATTGGTGCAATCGACATCTAGTGAATAATCTACGGTATATATTCGATTTTTTTGTTGTATAATAGAAAAGATATTCGCTTGTGAATTTCTGCTATAAAATGATTTTCATATGGCAGCCATCAACAGAGTTTGGAAACAGTTTGAACCGTACCTTGTCTATTTATGTAGTAGTAACTATAGTAGTAATCATTGTGGTATTGTTGTTATTTCCAAAGACAAAGATAACTGTGACCGTTACGACTTATTAGATCAAGGCAAATAAAAACGGACACACACCCGCTCATTTAGCCTCGTTATGCCGAACGCACCTGTCCGTGAGTCTGCGTTCACATAGTATCTCAGATCTTCAGGAGAAACACAGTGTTTAGCGGGTTGCTCAAGGTCGCCTATACTCCGTCCCATCTCGGAAAAAAAAAAAAACCTGGCAACTCATACCGGAGCTTGGTATCCGATTCGCCAAGTCTTGGAATAAAATAAATAAATAGAATAAAAAAAATAAATTAAAAACAAATGAAAAAGATGAAATAAAGTGGTTTGAAATCAACACATTCAGATAAAAAAAAGAAAGAAACACAAAGCATAGGTAGTATTAAATGTCGGCTGATTGAGATAAACAAGAGAGTTGGCGAATCGGAGTTCTCCAGAGTCCAGGCGAGTTGCCAGTTTCTCTTTTCTTGAGACTGGACACGATAGGAGTCGCGAGATGAAAATGTGTGTATAGTGCAACATGAACAGATAAATTAATTGATAATTAGTGTTCATAGCATAAATGTGTATCAATATTTTTTCATGGAACGCTTTCTTTATGTCAGGGCAGAGAAAGGCATAAAGAGTGCTGACAAATGTTCACAAACGTTCAACAACATCATGTAGCTAATATATGAAGCCAAATAAGGTCAAGAGGAAAAACGTTTAAGTGGCATTGGTTTTCATCATGTCCACTAGCCTAGTTGCTAATTATTTCCATAGTTAGAAAATTAAGTCTTGAATTTCCTCACGCCACCCAGTTTCTTCTGCAGCCTAACCAGCAAGACTCATTAACATCCTCATTATCCTCACTTTAATTATCATTAGTAGTATTAGTAATGATAGTCATATTATCATTATCATCACCATTGTCATTACAGGTTATCATTGGCATCATTATTTTCATCATCAGGTTTTAAACGTAATATATATTTTTTCCGGAGAAAATAATAAAGATGGTATGCATATCCAATAAACATTTATAAAACAATGATGAAGATCCTCATAAATATATTTAAAAAAAATAAATATATGGACCCTCATTTTAAAAGTCCAACATGGAGGTCCTATAATGACGCTATTTTGTAATAATTCAAAATGCTTTACATATTTTTTTTTCACAAGCGAAACCCCACTGTGACGTATTCGACCATACATTATAATACGGGATCCTACACAACCAAAGGATATGGTCTGTTGATTTTATTACACAGAAGCCAAGCACGTCTAATTTTATCACCAATGATTAAACACGCGATAATATACATAAATTACCAGTCTATACACTAGTCATTATACATTAAACATGCTTTTACGTTCATTAAATTCAGAATTGATATGAGTTTAAGCTTATTACTAGTAACGTTATAAGTGAGATAACAGCAATAGAAGTGAGAACAATAGTAACGAGAAGAATGATTGAAATAATGATAACAATTGCGATATTTATGACGGTAGTAATAACGGCCATGATGATAAAAATGATTTTGATATTTATGATGATAATGATAATGATTAGCAATGATAATAATAATAATAGCGGTAATAATAATGGTGATGACAATAATTATATTAATATTAATGATAATAATATCAATAATCTTAATGACATTGATAATGACAATAAATATGATAATGAAAAATAATAATCATTAAAAGACGATAATAATTAATAATATAAACAATTGCCATAATATGACAACAATGATTGTCATTATCATAACAACAACAAAAAATAATAATGATAATAATAATAAAAACAATTACAAAGGCAACCGATACAGTCACCAAACAACACAACACAATTAAAAAGAATACAACACAGATAAAACGCGGTACGCAGTAATCCTCTTTAAATACCACCTCGACATATTAACCCCCCCCCCCCCCCCCCAGATGCAATCAATAATGCCGAGGTTGTCTTGTGTCGTATATATTCATAATGTATGGATGACGCTGACCCATTACGGGAGCATCGCACAATTATTTTTTTCCGAGTGAGTTCTCATCCACCATATTGCTTTTCCTGTGATGGTTCTAGGGGGGTGGTGGGTGGTGTTATTTTATTATTATTGTTGTTTTTTGTTATTTTCATTATCATTATTATCTATATTATTATGACAATTATTATGATTGTTATCACAAATTCATTAATATATTATTATTATTATTTATCATTAGTGTTATTATTATTACTATCATTGTCATTATCTTTATCATTTTCATAATATTGTATTGTATCATTGATACTATAATTACAGTGGTTGTTATTATCTTTATAATTATTGTTATTACCATCATTATTTTTATCATTATAATTATTGTTATTATGATAATTGTCAAACGCACACATACACACTCCACATCAACAAACACAACACACAAAACAACACACACACACACACACACACACCACACACACACACACACACACACACACACACACACACACACCACACACACACACACACATACACATACACACAAAACAAACGCAGACACACACAACAACAAACAACAACAACAAACACACACACACACCACAACACACACACAACAACAACAACAACAACAACAACAACAACAACAACAACAACAACACAACACACACACACACACACACACACACACACACACAAACAACAACAACTACAACAAACACACACATCCACCTACTCATACATAAACCTCCACGCGTGCACACATATATATATATACATTCTGCTTCATCTCCAGAATATCTTCATCAAGCAGTGAAGGGGAGAGGGGAATAGGAGAAGATGGTGGGGGAAGAGAGAGGGGGGAACGAACGGAAGAGGGAAGAAGGAGGAGAAAAGGAAGAGCGGAAGGAGGTGAGGATTAGAAGGGGGGGGAGGGGGTGAAAGGAAGATACGATACACGTTATAATTTGTGTTCTATCCCGATCTCTCTCTCTCCTCTCTCTCTCTCTCTCTCTCTCTCTCTCTCCTCTCTCTCTCTCTCTCTCATCTCTCTCTCTCTCTCTCTCTCTCTCTCTCTCCTCTTTTCCCTCTCTCCTGCTCTCAACTCTACATACCTCTCTCTCTACATCTCATCTCCTCGTCTCCTCCTCCTCTCTTTCATAAATCTCTTCTTCCTCCGCATCCATCTCTCTTCCTCTCTCTGCCCCTATCGACGTCCAATCTATCTCTCTCTCAATCTACACTCATCTCGCGGTCTGACACCACAACAATATAAATATAATAAACAATCACTTACTTAACGCTACAATTATAATATGACACCAACAAAAGAGAGCAATAATACAATATAAAGAGAGAAAAAACAAATTATGGGAGAGAAAGAAGAAAGCATGGGTCAAACCCAACATAATATAACCACCATATAAGAGAAACCACCACAACACACACCAAATAATCAACACACACAAACACCAAATCACACACCACGCACACACACACAACATATAAACCATACATACACAACACCAACACAAGAGAACACGACACACACAGCACACCCACACCACCCCTAAAAAATGAAATAACAACCACATCTACACAAATAGCACCACACCAATAGTACAGCCCTAAAATAGTACAAATAATATAATACAATATATAATATATAAGCATATAACATCAGCGAGAGAGACAATAATATATACACGAAAAGCAGATAAGAAAAGAAACAATAATAAAATATAATATTTATACATTCTATATATATAATATTAATATATATATATATATATAATACTAAAATATAGATAAATATAACATATAATACACAAAAATAATAATTAAAGCAACTTAAATTAAACTATAATAAATAAATATAAGAATAATAAAACAAGTACATGTGATGATACATAAACACCCACACAGCAGCCAACCACACATACGACCAGACAGATATTACCACACCCAACAACCCATAACACACAGTACCAATTTTACCTACAAACATCAGCATTACACCACACTGAGAACTATTATGAATATTTCTATTTATATAGCCACGCATTCGTAAAACAACAATAGCTAATATATAACATACTAAGGGCAAACAATTAGGTATATAGTATAAATATAACGCTATTCTAATGTTCTTATTACATATATACTATAATATATATATAACATAATTAATATGCATATAAATTTAATAATGTGTAAGTGTTGCCAGCATTTACCAATCCTCTGTAATACCAATATAATAAGCTATTACGGCCCCGTCATTATGACTCTAAATGATTGAGTATATAGTATAAAGGACTAATCCATCTTTATTACTACTAAATAGTCCACTTTATAGATGAATGCGCGGATTAAAAGTACTTTTTGTCGCTCCTTGACAAGATATCAGCATCTTGGATATAAACTTTTATATTATCATGTAAATGATAAAATCTCGGCTCGATGTCGATTCCGCTGACGCCAAATCCAAGCTCATTTAATGACTTATACCCACTACATCGATAGTTCGCTTCGTCAACCACGCTATATGCGCGCCAGACGACACCTCAGATAGGCCTACGGTGTCGGAACGAATGGAAAATCATTCACTCCTAATGACGTGAAAGTTATATAAAATCTAAAATACTACAGCGATTCTACTACCGGCGTGTCCGTTCATCGCATCGCAGACCTTGGTACAGAGCATGGGCAGACCAATTGAAAGACTTGGTCGTTTACTGACTTGTGAACCGGGGCTATTGATGTAGCACAATCTTGTACGAAATATTTACATACAAAATAACTTACTCTTTTCTCCCCCTTTTTAGAAGGTTCACAGTCCATTATGTTTTAAATACGCGTATATGATAGTAAGCATGTCGTGGTTTGTTGTCATCAGAGTGGGCGGGTAAGAGTAAGAAGAGAGAAGTGGGGGCGGGAAAATTATGGAGTTAGTGCTGAGCCCATCTCTCATCATCTTAGCCTCACAGTTAATTTTTTTACCGCTATTATCTAACTGCAAACCGATATTACTGTGCAATCATGAG